TTTGTTTTTTGGGCTACATCAACCACAACTAGAATCCCAATATGCCCCTTAACATTCCATCCCTCGAGTCCCGTAAAATTTTTTTGATCTTTTTTTTTTTGTATAAATGTGTTAATGCTATGTTTAATAGTAATTTAGTCTCAACTTTTAATCTCAGATCCCCAGTCGCTGTCACAGAAAAAGTCCTACGTTTCACATTCCTTTTAGAGAGTTAATGTTTTAAAAATGGTTATGTTAGTAGATTGAGTCGGTTATAATTCCCTTGTTTTAAGAAATCCTGAATTAGATAGGCCTATTTTAATAATGACTTTCATATGTTTCGTAATATCATAAGTAGTTTGGTTTAATCAGGGAGTTGTTATAGTAAATTCACATGTATTTGTATTGTACGTTGTGGTTTTATGTGTTCCCCTGTAGGTGGCGAACATTATTTTTGCTGTTGGTTGGGAAAAGAAATAAATAAAAAAATAAATAACAATCGTATCAAGCAGCTCAACGAAAAGTGTATATATTATATATATGTATGTATGTATATATATATATATATATATATATATATACATATATTATATATATATATGTATATATATATTATAATACAACAATCTCTAATAATACCGTTGCTGTTTATATTTCTAAACTGTGTATAATTAATATGTTTTTTACTATTTTAGTATAGGCCGCAAGTCGACAATGTTCATCTGTATATTTATAACTCTTGTGTTCAGCATAGCTGTAATGTTTTCACCTGGCTATTGGTGGTTTACAATGTTGAGAGCCGTCGTTGGATGTGCGAATATAGGAATATATCTCATGGCATTTACCTTATGTAAGCAAACAATTACGTTTAAATTTTGCTATCGGGTGATAATAAATGCAATTCAGTATCTTATCTTACTAACTTAGGTGATACATTCAACTTCTATTATAATATGAACTAGTTGACGTTGGACGTTAGTATGGGAAAACAATGATTCACTCCTTTCCATGTCGCCTTCCTTCTTTCCTCCTCAGCAATTACCTTCCTTCAATTTATTTTCCTCAATCTAGTCAATAGGCTTACTATTCTTTCTCGTCATTATCCTCTCCATTTTGTCTTTATCAATTCCTCATTCTTTAATTCTTCGCCCTTCCCTTCCTCTTCGTTCTTTCTGCGCAACCACTACCTACACCAACTCGGCCACGATCGAATCATGGATCATGGAAACGTGTAGGACTATGTTATAATTAAATATAATTTATATCATAATTAAAATTTTTATTCCTCTAGCAACTGAGATTGTTGGGCCGTCAAAACGTACGTTCGTTGGGATTGTACTTAACTTCTACATAGCTGTCGGCATCATGATCTGCGGTCTTTTGGCTTATTTCATCAGAGACTGGCGATGGTTGCAGCTTGCGATATCGGTGCCAAATATATTTTACTTTTTTATATACCCGTGAGTTCTGTTTCGCAGCGATACTAATGCAATGGAAATTATAGAGACAACTTTTGGACAAAAATGAACAAAATTATGAATAGAATATTGGGCGAGAGAAAAAATGAAGGTGGTCAAATAATATGGTTTCCGTTGAATGTCTATTGTTACTGGTGTATTATCGTGGGTGTTATTGTTATTATTATCAGTTATCACAAAGATAAAATAAAATACTGTGTGTGCAATGATATCACAAGGTTTTATCGTTCATCTAAATAATTCAACTGTTGGAGTTTTAGAATATCTCGACGATGTTTTGGATATTTTGTATGGATACAATGACCAGCAATTTGCAGACCAGTCATTATTTCACTGCTATCTCAAATATAAATTCATAAACTGCAGTAAAAATTGAACAGTGAAGATAAAATTAATTGAAGCATCCATTGCTTTAAACTAGATTACCAGAAATGTAAAATGTGTGAGGCGATCTGTTGTAAGTTTATATAGTATTTATATTGTTGTTCGTTATTACTTTTCGATATAAGTATTATATCTCTCTGTCTTTTAGAATTATTCCGGAGTCCCCAAGGTGGTTAATATCCCAGAAACGATTTGATGAGGCAGAAGCTATTATCATGGAATGTGCAAGAGTTAACAAGGTTGACAATCTTCCCCCAGATATTCTCGATGAAGAAAAAGCAAAGGTAGGCGTAACTGTTAGATGCTACTTGTATTTCGCACTATATGAGAGTAGCAGGCCTACACGTATAAATGATACAGGATTTTGGAAAGGGTGATTGTTTACCTTGTAGACGTAGACCATAAGCTTTTATTTGATAGATCTGGAGTGAGGAAAGAAGGACCGCTGTGAATTTATGGAATACAAATTACGCACTGTGTGACGTTGAAAAACGCTTTTGACGCGCTGCAACGTCTAGCTTAAACAGGTATCCCTAAAGCCTGTTTTCCACTGGGTGAATTTATTCACCCGAGTCGAAAATTGGATCCCGACATTATGAATTGCGCATGCGTATGGGTAAAATTGTTCGATTCGCCCAGATAAATTCGCTAGTGGAAAACGGCCTTAACTACTACTGTATTTTTGCACTCTTTCAGTCTCAGAAGCTCCATATCGGCACAAAGCTCATTGGTAGAATGCGGGGTGCGCGCCCTAGCTTTATAAATAACTCATCATTGATAAAACTCTTCATCGTACTAAATATAGAAGTCGTCGTTTCGTGAGTCCCATAGAATTATCCAATATAGTTGCTTAAATGAGCTCGAGAGACTGGTAAATGCAGCATAAGTTGCGTGTCGTTTATAACTGATTTAATACCGAACTTAGGTAAACTCTGACACTGGGAGTATAATGTTTGTCAAACACATTGTTTTTCTTTTGGTCAGGTCGAACCAGACGTCATCTATAGCATAGCCGACTTATTTCGAACTCCCAACATGAGGAAGAAAACAATAAATATACTTTACAATTGGTAATTAGTAGATTTAGTAAATTAGATAATGGTGTCTAAAGTGTGGTCGCTTACATGAGTTGGTCATTTTTAAAGTGACCAATAAAGAGGACCATACTTTTTTAATCATGATCATGCCACTGGCAAATAAGATATTTGGGAACTCTTATTAAAGCCCTGTTAACCTCTTTTGATTTAATCGAATAAAACGTAATGACTTTGGGTGGTCGCCTACGAAAGGTAATATTGGATTGGATTGGATTTATACGGTGTAAACACCAAGGATAGCCCACGAAAGTCTAGAAGACTTTTTTTTCCAGTGGGGTCCTTCTGGTGGTGATCGGGCAGTACACCGGGAGACAATCCCCTACTCTTTTCCGAAGAGTGTACTGCGTTCTTTAACGTGCACATGGGCCATAATGCACATGGGACCAACGGCTTAAACGTCTCATCCGAAAGACGGTGCGCTGTTGTAACTTGTATTTCAGCCATCTAGCTGAAACACAAGGAGGGGCAGCGATGGGAATTGAACCGGGGACCTAGAGATCTCCACGGTTCAGCACAACGGCTACCACCAGATTAGCCGACTGAGCTAAGCTGCGCTCTCATATACAAATATATGCGCATATAATATACAAATTCCAAATTGATAGCAAATACGTCCATTTACTAGAAACATAGTATCAAGGCACAGGACAGGAAGACAGGTTTGGACTACTTGCGTCAAGAGTCGTGGCCACTACTGGAGAGGGTGACTCTAAGAGGTTTTTTTTAAAGTCTGGTTGATCGAGTAGTTTATTGATTGCAATAGTATGTGTTTACTACCTGTATACTATCGCTAGCTAACAGCACTATAATACATTTTTGTTTATTATAGGATGGTAAATAGTCTGGTGTACTATGGGTTGTCATTAGGTACATCTAGTCTTGGCGGTAGGGACTACCTTGCCTTTATACTATCCGGTGCTGTTGAAGTCCCATCCTTCATAATAGCTCTTCCAGCGATGAACAAGTATGGGCGACGCCCTGTACTTTGTGTGTTTATGGTGTTGGGTGGCGTTGCCTGCTTCACATCGATATGGGTCCGTAAGTACTACTAAATAATGTTACACAGTGAATTAATGTATTAATAATTTACTTGCGGCAGGCATAAACCAGCATAATATTAGTTCCAGAAAGAGATGTTGTTTAGAATATCTAAATTCGGTTGAAATGCTCCGATATTCTTCAGAGTAATTATTAAAAGAATTTAAAAGAAATATTTTTCTGATGTTTAAGAAGGATTGTTGAACACACAAATATGAAAACGCCCACAAATGTAATGACATCCACAAATGTAACAACACAGCGCCAAGAAATGTAATAATGGCCACAAATGTAACAAACAGCGCCCACAAATGCTTCTGTCACAAAGTGCACGGTTTGGCCATTTTTGGTTTCTAGCTGCAACACTCGAAGTTTTATAAGAAAATTATTACATTTGTGGGCGAAGAGGTCATGTTATATTTGTGGGCCATATCACATTTATGGGCGATGATCGTTATTACATTTGTGGGCGCTGTTTGTTACATTTGTGGTACCGTACTGGTTGTTACAATTGCGGGCATTATTAGGCGCTGTGTTGTTAAATTTGTGGCTGTTATTACATTTGTGGGCGTTTTAACATTTGTGGGTTCAACGAGAATGAAGCTGTTCACAATGGTACTGATGGGTGAACAGCTATATGAGACGAGATAACGATATGGCTAAATAAGCAAAAACCCGGTATTCCTGTCTGTTAGAATATACACCGAATTCAACCACGTACCACTTACATTACGCTCCGAGAATGATGATCTGGCTAGAGATACTCTGGGTTCAGTATGTTGACGAGATATTTTACTAGGCATATTGATGGTGTTACCAGACAATGCAATGTTAAATTATTATATGGTATTCTAACTTTGTAACTTTCACAATCACTTTAGCTATTGGTTGGGCTAGAACGACCGTTTCACTGATTGGCAAATTTGGTATTGCTGCATCGTTTGCGATTATCTATGTGTTTTCTGCTGAACTCTATCCAACTCCGATAAGGTTTGTTGATGCAACTATATTTATTAAGATACTATGGGATTTTAAGCTCCGACTTGACTTTACCTCACCTATCAAACGCAATGTTAACTATAAAAAAGAAGCATGGCTTGGTCCTGATGATGACCTAATTAAGTGTCGAACCCAACTTGATGACGAGTTTTTCGATTAATCGAGTATTATATTTTCCTTAATGAGTATGGACTTCTGTAGGACTTGACACTTAGTGTATAACATCATGCATCTTTGAATAATGATCCAATTACCGACTAAATATATGATATACTGGAGAGTTTCGTCTGATTCAATTGATTAGATATATTCGATCAATGATTGATTAGTAGAGTGATTGACTGATTGGTTGATAACATGTGTTTTAATTTACAGGAGTGCTGGTATGGGCACTGCATCCATGACTGCCCGTATCGGTGGTATTCTCGCACCTATAATCCTAGAAATCGGCAAGTTATGGCGCCCTTTGCCATTGATAATATTTAGCCTAATGTCAATTTCGGCTGGACTCTTGGCACTTTTACTTCCGGAAACTCTAAACAAGAATCTACCGGAGACGATTGAAGAGGGGGAAGCCTTTGGGAAGTATGTATTTTTCGACTTTATATTTGTTATTAGGCCCTATTTGATATGCTAGGCCTATACAATGTCACAGTCAGTGCCATCGTCAGGCTAAGAAATTAAATTACGATTTTTCATTCATAAATTTTATTACATTTATTTGTCGGTTTAGTAATTATTAAATTGCCGTTCTCAGATTGTTAATTTTCGTTCTCAGTTAACAGCCATTCTAAGTTCAGACGTCGTTTAGCACCATTCTCAACTTGGATTTTTTAGTTTAGAAATTAGATTAATTGGCATTTTATGTTCGTGAATTCAGTTACTCATTTCAGATATTAAGTCATCATTTTTAGTTCAAAGATTCAGTTACCATCATTGGTGCTATTCTCTGTTCAATATAGTTAAAATTATCAGTTTACTATTTTTTATTCTAAATTAATTTTGTTTAACATAATCTTTATTTTACAGAAAAATCCCAACTGTACAACAAGAAATTAAGCCGACGATGGTGGACTACAGTGGACAAGTAGATATGGAAAGCACTTTCACCAACAAAGCTTGTGACATTAAAGAATAGTGTAGAGCACTTTCACAAGCTTATGGAGAACAGTTTTATCAAAAAGTCTTACAAAATTAAAGAATAGTGTGGATGCCAGTTTCACCAACAAATCTTATGACAATAAAGAATAGAGTAGAGAACAGTTTCTGAAATCTTGTGACATAACAATTGGATACCGGTAGCAGTTTAATCTGTGATTTCCCGTACCAGGACTGGTTTTGGGCAGCTGGATCATTAGGCCTGCATACAGTTTTGGGCATTTCAATAGTCAACGGACCCACAAAGTTATTATTATAGTAGTGGGTCATTATTATAGAGTATCCTTTAAGAATGGTCTATAGAGTACTAGATTTCTATTTAAAGTTTTATAGTAATCCGAACAATATTCGAGAATTAATTATTGTCTTCAGAAATGTATAGAGAGGATATGAAGGTGTCGCTGATCCGTACAACCTTATTGTTAGGATCATATAATTCTCATATTTATAATAATCATATTTTTTTATTTCAAAATCTCACTAAATAGCGAAAACGCTTTAAAATATAATATTTTTAACCAATGTGATAGGAAAAAACAGGTCTTTCTTGTAGTGGGCTTATATTGTATGCCTAGTGCCTAAAACATAATATGGATATACATAAGGCGTATTCGATTGGTCTGTTTTGAGCAGCTCTTTCAACTCAAACTGCACATGTCGTATTCGACTGGTCGCACAAGCAGCACGAACTCCTCACAAGAGCGGCTCGAACTCCTCGCTGTTTTTTAACAAGCACGCCACTGCGAGTAGTAAATCACTCCTCGGAAAAGGACCAGTCGAATACGTCTATATATACAGTACTCCCAACTTCATCCTTCTTTCACCAGATACCAATAATCCCGGGTGAAGAGACCCAATTAGATAGTCTCACTTGCCAAAGGAAACAATTACGGTGGCATAGCCCAATTA